AGGCCAATTAGTCCGACAACGATTAAGCAATATGAATGTATGAAACTAACAAAATCTTATTGGTTAGAATGATTATTAACATGAACATGAGAATCAGTTCGTAGGTTGGAATTTGAATCCGCCTAGATAATAAAGTCACAGTGGCGGATCCATGAATTCGACGTAGAGGTGTCCTCTATAAAAATAAATTAAATTAATTATTAGAATTAAATTAAATAATTTTTTAAATATGAAAATATCTAACTAATAAAAGTTTCATTAAAAGTTCAGACGTGTTTCATCAAAGGATAAAATGCATTCAGTGTTTATACTGCTCAACAAATATCTCTTGACATATCTTACTAGACAAGGATATCCGGTAATTGAGTTTAATCGTTAGGTTTTGAAAATAATTTGAGATAAGAATAGCATTTTACTATTATATTTGGATCTAAAACACAATAACAAATGAGTTGTAGCGTAATTGAAAATATATTAACTAATAGTGACAGTGTCCCAAATTTAAATCACATAAAGTACTACTTAAATATCATTTATACCAATACGCAAACTACTACGGGAGATTGGATAATCATTTCCCCAAAATTTAAAGGTGTCTCACTCCCACTTAAACATTTTTTTTCCTCATACGTAAATTACTATCGTAGGTTGAATAATCGTGTTTTCAAATTTTAGGGGTGTCCTGGGACACCCCTAACCATGCATGTATCCGCCACTAAATAAAGAGCCTTGAGTAATGTCTCCCTAACCTCCATTCAACCCTCTTTTGCCAATATGTAATTTACCCAAGGTTATCAGCCCGCGGGTCGACCCACGGGTTGACCCACTTTAACCCTGACCCGGTGAAAAAACGGGCCGCACGCACCCGCCGGGTCGACCGCTACAAGGTACCAGCCTGGTTGGAGGTCAAATTGTGTCATTTTTTTCTTTGTTTTGCGAAATGCGCCTATTTTCCGATTTTTCTTTTCACCTAACTCAATTTTTAGAATCATAAGTTGAACATTTGAATATTAATGTTATATAAGTGTGTGTGAATTTTCACTATATGTTGAATCTAAGTACGAAATGTTATTTTGGTGTAATATTATATGTTATAACTCATATGTTAGATGAGATTTGATATAATTTATCAGGATAAGTACAATATAATGATGCTTTCCACATTTTCGGGCTAAACCGGACTAAAACGGGTGACCCATTAACCCTTAGCCCACTAGCTCAACCTGGTCCGGGTCAACCCGCGGGTTGACAACCTTGAATTTACCAGTTTGGAAGAAGGAAAAAGAGAGCAGAAGCTGGATTGGAAAACGTCATTCGATGCGTCAGCATTTCGTTTATGTGACACCGAGACTGCAATAATTTTCCTTTGACTAAAAACTTTCCACTTACGGGATGGGTAACAGACTGACATAAAGAAGCAAACTGTTTATTTTATTATTTGTAACACCCAGCATGGAATATTGGTAAACAAACGTAAACAAACTTTTTTAGTGAATTATAGAGGTGGCAATTTCAATCCAATCCACCAATCCAATCCATCAATCCATTAAAAATATCCACCTAATCCAATCCATTTTATCCAAATCCAATTGGATTGGTGGATTCATGGATTGGATCCATGGATCATTGGCAAATTACGGTTTAGTACCTATAATTTTTATTTTTTACATTTTGGTACCTAAAATTTAATTTTTATACAAAAATATCATTGGAAAATTACGTTTTGGTACCTAAAATTTTTCATTATGACATTTTAGTACCTAAACTTTTTACATTTTACATATTGGTCCTTGGTTGAGGATGTCATTTGGATTCATGGATAATCCACCAATCCACTTGATCCAATCCATGAATCCACCAATCTATTAGATCCAATCCATTTGATCCATGGATCCACCAATCCAATCCATTTGCCACCTCTAGTGAATTACGATACCCATAGTCATAACTCAAGAAATATATCAGCATGCGTTCTTATGGTTTTCAAACCGGTGGTATGTCAATTAGTATAATCGAGTTTAGGCGCTACCAATCACAAAATCGGCTGCAATATTTTTGCTATGCAGTGGTAGTCAAAACCAAAAAAATCAGTTGTTCAACTGTTATTTAATTTTCTTCCCTAAATAAAATGATGTCTCTTTGGTGAATTAAATTAAAAAATAAATTCAAAGATTTGTCATTATGTGTTGTAATATATTTTATTTAAATATGGATGCTGATGCTATTTGTTTGATTCAAGTATAAATGTTTCGATATCGATGTTAAATATTATATTTAAACATGAGGATTTGTCATTTCATTTGCACATATGGATGTAAATTCGTATAGAGATTTTCTTGAAATAAGTTATAGGGGGTCTATGGTACTACCTATGTCAGAGCACTTGCTAACGCAATAGAAATAGAAACTATTTGTATTGAAATGAATACGAAATATAAATTGTGAATTGTACGATTTAAGGTTAAACCCTTTGTACCCGAGCTGGGTTTAAAAGGAAATCAGAGATGGAAAGTCTGTTACGGTAAACAAAAACAGCCAATGAGCATTGGCCAAATCTCAAATCCTTGTGAAAAGTAAACGCGAAATATCGATCATCATCAGCAATACCTTAATGTATAACAAATGCCCTGTAGCTGTTTTCTTTTGATCGTGGGTAAACTTACAAATTCATACTAACTTAACTAACTTGATCCTATAAGGCTATAATGTTGCATTTAAGTCCAGACGACGATCATGAAAGTTTTATTATCATCTCTGATAACCTAAAAAAGCCTGTCACAAAAAATGTCATTTTCGTTGTACCCTAATCTAACAGAGAAAACAAGGTGACTAATGTATATGTCTTGGGTGGCGCAATATCTTCCTTGGTGACTGTGCTAATCAATCTTGAATTAGTCATAAAATATAATAATTAACTATAAGAACGGTCGGTGTTAGCGTGCACTTCGTTGCATTATAACAAATGGGTCGGCTGGTCCCAATATTTTTTAGTAATTAATAACAAGTTCGATCATTCTAGGCATCACATCGTCCCATGTTTTTTTTTTTTTTTTGCTTAATTAATCATGTTGCTAAACAATGCTAAAACCATATGTTTTTCTTTAGGTACGTTTTCCTCCTATGATCAAATTAGAAGTATTCATCGAGCTACTACTTTTGGCGGTTGAAATATGAAAGGTTAGCATATGTATCATCAAGAACACAAATGAATATGCCTAGCGCTCGAGTCTACGATGAGTTGGATGACACATATTTTGACAAGACACATGACAATGCATAATCAACAATAGACATATCCCAAACGGATTAGAAGGCGGCTTTGCCTCTGAACGAGGGGCACGTTTCCAGTCCACACGTATAAATTAAAGGAGGGTACAGAAGAAAAAAAATCTATGGAACTAATCAACTGAACTCCATTTTCTTGCCAACCTTCTTTAATGCAAATGTTTGATATCTCTATTTACATGCTTTTGTCATAGACCAAACACATGTTGTATGGAATACCTAGAAAACGAAGCTTCCAGATTCTACTTTGGTTGAGAGAGCTAGATTTGGGTGGGGGAATCAAGTGGACAACTACAATGCTGGTGCATATATGCAAAGACTTGCATGCATTGGTCAAATCACAAATTTCTGAGTTAGGTTCCGGTTTCATTTTGATCGTTAGGTTAGTGATGGCAATGGGGCGGGCGGGTGGGTACCTCAATATTCATGCCCCGCTCCACGCTATTGTGGGTATAGGGTGGGGCGGGTCGACTCACTCTTACATATTATTTGAAAAAAAAAATACATGTAAATTTTACTTTTTACTATAAAGCGAAGGGAAAAACACTTTGTGACAATAGCGTGGAGCGGGTCGACTCACTCTTACATATTATTTGAAAAAAAAATACATGTAAATTTTACTTTTTACTATAAAGCGAAGGGAAAAACACTTTGTAAATGAAAATAATGATAATAGAATGGATAAACAAGTTGAAAAATCGACTCTAACTAGTTGAAAAACAAGTCAAAATATGAGAAATATGCATAGATACTGTAAGAAATTAAGATAGAATGAGCCAAGAACGGGGCGGGACAGGACATATGGCGATTCGGAAGTAAATACACATGTCCCACCCCATGCTATCGCGGATCAGGTAATACCCATTCCATCGCGAATCAGATTGGGGAATACCCGCGGGGCGGGTTCAAATTGCATGTTAGATAATTAAGAAAAGTACTACTCATGTTACTCTCATGTTTAACCAATTGACCATCATGCAACTATGTAATCTTTGTCTCCGAATTGACATTCAACAATATCCTATGAATCATACTGTGTAAGTGTACGTTCGGTGTATCCGAATGTTTAGCTATAAATCTAATATATTTTTGGGTTAATACCTTGTTATGGCCTGAACTATGACCATGTAATCAACTTTGGCCAGTGGTTTGAGAAATTAACATACTGGCCCGAACTATGCAGCATATAGACAAAATTGGCCTGGAGCGTGGTTTGACCGTTTGTTTGGACGGTCAACACCGTTGACCGTTAGTCAACTGACCAGGTCACTGCCATGTCAGCATAAAAAATTTATAATTTCATTTTTCTTTTTATTTCATTTACAAAATTGAATAATTAAAAAACAAAAACAAAAACAAAAACTTTTGGCCCACCCATCCCCACCTTATCCCCTCACCTTCTTTCCTTTTCGATCAAACCCAAACAAACCCTATCTTCCATCTTCTTCCTCCTTCTTCCCCGACGAGCCGCCACCTCCATTCTCTCCGACTTCAAATGCAGCGGAGAACCGCCGCCTGCATCATCTTCACCAGCTTCCCCTGAAACCGTAAAAACAAAACCTCCACACAAGCTCTGCCTCTTCGACAAGCTCTTCCCCTTAACCTACACTCCACTCATCCTCTTCTACGCCAACCCTGAAAACCCCAAATCTCCAATCCACTGATCGCTTCATCGCCCACCTGAAGCGCTCTCTTGCCGAGACTCTGACCGTCTACTACCCTTTCTCCGGCAGGACGAATTCGGGCAATTTGCTCATCGACAGGTTCGGGGAAAGCATCCCGTTCATCCATGTCAAGGTCGAAAGCTGCCGCCTTTCCGATTTCCTCAAACGCCGTGAACCGGAAAACCTCAACTGCCTCCTCCCTCGAGCTCCCTTCCGTCGAGAAAGCTTCGAATTCGACTCCCCTGTTTTGGAGATGCAGGTCTCTGTTTTCTCCTGTGGCGGAATCGCCCTGGGATGGGCCGCTTCACACAAACAGATCGGGAAGCACTGCTCGGAATTGAGTCCTTCCCCGAGCCCTAGTTCCGCAGCTGGTTCAAAATCATCATCGTGGAAGCGGCGGCGGAGCAAGCTGATCAGAATCATTGCTCCAAGTGCGGCCGGATTGGTGGTTTTGATCCTGGTGGCGATGTGCTTGTTTTGTGTCTGGTTCGGCGGAATGGGAAGGCGAAAGAGAATGCGGAAGCGAAAGGCAGAGACAGCGGCGGGGGAAGCTTGGATGGAGGCGGCGGCGGCGGCGGAGAGAGCGGGGGCCCTAGTGGTGGAAGGCAAGGGGGTTTTCGTGGGAGAAAGGGGAGAGCATGGGAACACTGGTGTTCGTTGGCGCAGGGGATCAGGTGATGAGTTACAGTTTGGAGGCGGCGAGAATGGAGGCGGCGAGAATGGAGGCGGCGACTCGTCGGGGAAGAAGGAGGAAGAAGAAGGAAGATAGGGTTTGTTTGGGTTTGATCGAAAAGGAAAGAAGGTGAGGGGATAAGGTGGGGATGGGTGGGCCAAAAGTTTTTTTTTAATTATTCAATTTTGTAAATGAAATAAAAAGAAAAATGAAATTATAATTTTTTTTTATGCTGACATGGCAGTGACCTGGACAGTTGACTAACGGTCAACGGTGTTGACCGTCCAAACAAACGGTCAAACCACGCTCCATGCCAATTTTGTCTATATGCTGCATAGTTCGGGCCAGGATGTTAATTTCTCAAACCACTGGCCAAAGTTGATTACATGGTCATAGTTCAGGCCATAACAAGGTATTAACCCTATATTTTTCTTACATGTATTCGAAACAAAAGCCCAACATTTATGCACTTGAGTTTAATTAAATCAACTGTTATAAAAAGTCGCTAAAATTCAGACACAATTTTTTCTCAACTGAAATCTTTCATACCATATTATAAACTAATTTATCATAATAACTTCAGCTGGTCGCCCAGACGCCCACGCTCAAACAATAACTGAAATTTGGTATCAATCCCTTATACGGTGAATTGATGTTCGAAATACATGCATGCATTTGTCATAATTCATAAAATTGGATTCTAATAATTTTCACACTAATTAATTAATGATCTCACTCAACAGCTACTAATGATATTTTGTTACTAGTGGAAAATGGACGTACGAGAAAATGTCTTACCTTTGTAGCGTGATTGTTACGGGTGGATGTCAAGCTCATCATCACCGTCCAAAGCTATAAACAAAGAATTATGATAATTTGCTTGGCACCCAGGCAATCACAACACAACAAGTGGGCAGCCAGCTTAGCTACACAGGTAAGAAAGCAAAGCAACCCACCTTTTCTAATTTATTAATTAATCCATTATAAAATTGACAACTAGCATACACTTAGTCGTTTTGAAAGCATACATGGTTTGTTTTTTAATGTAAAAGAAACTATCAGTCAAAATAAATTATTGTTATATCTAAACTATTAGTTATGATTTTTCAGATTATTTTGCCTCAACTTTTAGTTGATGTGTTGAGAAATTGGGATGGTGACCCTCCATAGTGGGAGAGAAACTAGAGAAGTACTCCTCTATAAGAAATCTCTCGGGTAGAAAAGCGAAACAAAGCCACTACTTCCCCCGAGCAAGAAGGGGGCATAAGTGCAACTGGTGGGGATAAGAAGGACTCGACTCCTCAATTAGAACAGAAAAAGGGGAAAGCAAGTCCACCTCTTCCTTACCCCGACATACATAATCATACATACCTAACGTTGTATTTTACAATGCATCAAATTCGACAATACATGTATAATATTATATATGCATTCATAACAATACATCTATTCAACAATCAACAAACCTTCCAATCCACATGTCAAGAACCAATTGATCCCAATAACTCGAGTTGTTAGGAGAGGTTCAATTCTGGATCAAATACCATTTACTAACACCACACCGTTTCAAAATCTTAAAAAGGAACTCCACTAAGAAATTCAAGAGAATGTTCTAGATTTCTTAGTTGGCTAAACTAATTCATAGAGATGATTATATATATAATTATAAAAGAAACCCATTGTATACTCTTAATCAAAGGAAGCAAATAGCCTAGATTAGGGTTTGGAGTGTCCTTGTCTAAAAATTAACCATGCGAACAATGTGTGCGTCGAACATCTCAATCGAACAATATCGTTGACGCTCTCATTACTGTGATGTACATGTTATTGTGAATGAAAGCAATTGGCTTGTTGAATAAGTTGGAGGGAGCACATACACCGAAGCAAAGTCCATTTATAAAACTACCTTTTCTAAGCTCCAAACTTGGAAATTAGGTCGAGAAAGTGTAAAACTGACTGCTTTTAACATTAACCATGAATTCTTCGATGGATCGTTATGCCGTGTGATTGTGATGCTTTGTGGTCGTTGAATCCAAAGAAGATAAATGGTAGATATATAGTAGACAAAAGCCACGGCACGAGCACTTACCATCGTATCAATAAAATATCCAGCAAGCAACGTTAGGGAAAGGAAACTTTTTGCGTCCACTGTTTGGGATATCCTTTATTTTATCTTCTTTGTTCTTGTCAGTCATCAGATCAGAGTGCTAAAACAAGACAAGTTGACCTATCACGACAAAATCATTATTATTATCACGGAGAGAAAGAAAGAGCAAGCAGGAAATTGAACAGTACATAATATAATAGTGGTGTGGTCCGACATATAAATAGCGAAATGTCGAAATGAATAGCGATAGGACTTGAGTGGCCACTGGCCAGCACTCAGAAAAGGGCACTTTCGTCTTCTCCATGGCATTCATTGCCCTGATATTTTGTTGCTGTACTGCCACTGCTTATATTTATTACTTGCTGGCTATGGCTGGCCCTTTTGAAAAAAAAAAGGTTATTTTTTTCTGATTATTGAACCTTTTTCTTTTTCAATCTGTTGCATATCCCTTTTGTTTTCGGGTGTCAAAATTCACAGCTTCGATCTTTCGGTAGTTAAAAGACAATCAAATGATGCCTAACTGCCTTATCTCTTCCTAAGCATAACCTATGCAAAGTGGCACATTATAATGACTGATGTTATAATAAATTAAAAAGACGAGGGCAGAGATATATTTTGATAAAGAAAAAGAGGCGAACCCAAACAAAGCGTTGCAACTCATATCATAAGTGGGTTTGAGTTCCACTATGCCTGCTGAAGATTTTAAAGTAATGTTTATTTAGTACTTTTTTTAATTTTAGCCAAATTTATTGAAATATTAAGAATTAGCCAAATGTTTTGTAACATGTCAAAGTATTAGCCATTTTTACGTTATCGTCAATAGTTTTGTAACACTTTTCTTAGTTTAAATACTAAAATTTTGGAATGTTGACCTCCATGTATCTCTTCTAAGTTAGTATCATGTTGCCAAGTCAATATTACTAACAAAATTGCTAACTAGATGTTAACATTTGGCTAATTATTAGTAATTCAATAGATTTAACTAATAAAAACAAAATCTGAAAAATGTTTGGCTAATAAATAATCATTACCCAAAAAAATTTCATGGTTTAAAAAAACTCAGAAGGTGCGGACACTCTAGAATCCTATTCCCGATGAGTCCCGTTAGTCAATTAGTCCATAATTATAGTGTTTTTGGATATTCAATGGTGGTTGAGATTCTATTGGGGGTGTTACAAAGAGAGGCCCAAGTGAAAGCCCAATACGGCCCAATGAGGAAGAGGAGGGTTACTCCATGGGGCAAGCCCACAGGTTGGCCCGCCAGGCCAAGCCCAAGTATGATGAGGGAAGCTAGGAGATAAGACTCGGAAGACTCCAAGGGAGTACGGTCTAGGCGCCTTGCATCTGTCAGAAGGCTGACATGTTGGTCGGGGCGCCTGGTCTAACAAAAGTACGAAGCATTAAAAGCGATGTTGACGTGGAGCTGGATGGAATAAGCCCGGTCCAGGGTTGGGTGAGTATAAATAGGGTCGGTAGGTAGCATTTACGCAGGTTGGACTCTCTCACCAAAACCTATAGTTTCATACTTCTCTCTCTAGAATTGGAACTAACTTGAGCGTCGGAAGATTAATGGGCTCAGGCGCCCCCCTCAGTGCGTGTGTGTAGGCCAGATGCCTAAGGATTGGCTAGCAGGACCAATGCGCACCAAGGAGCGGGCTTCAAGGCGAGGCGCCTACGGAGCATTAAGCAGGACTCGGGCGCTCAAAAGATCAGGCTCCAAGGTGAGGAGCCTAAGGTGTGATCAGTAAGGCGAAGGCGTACGAAGAGTTGGGCTTCAAGATATTTGGGCACAAACAATTGACGCGCCATAAAGGGATCTCGAATAAGAAAGAAAGACATGTCCCATTGTCTGAGGAGGAAGCCACGCGTCAAGATTTTGGAAGTGTGAATTTACGTGTGTTGTGAGGGCCTCTTGAGATAGAAACTCTCAAGTGAAAGTGTGGTTTGGGCAGATGAGGAAGAAAAGGAATCCCTACCAGTTGAAGAGGAGGCTTGCAAGATGAATTCTTTCTTAGCACAATTTCATCAAATAATGGAGCCTTTGATATTAAGTCCATGCAATGGGTGCCAACTTGAAGGCAAAATAAAAGCGCCAAAGGTTGGAATTCTACCCAGTACTTCAACAAATACAAATCAAGTCACGACTCCCGTGTACTACAAATACAAGGGTAAGAGGTGGGTGCCTTATTTTACAAGAAATGCCTCTAGTATGTGAAACCGAAAGCATAAACTTCGTGGGATAAGCCCACCTATGCGCCTTCTACAACAACAACAACAAAAATTTGCCAAGGAGGCTTACACATGGCGCCTCAATACCACAAGTCAAGCGCCTACATCACCTGAGTTCAATCCTGGACTTGAAAATTCCTAGCAGGCGCCCCTACCTTGTTGGAAGCATCAAACTGGGCTTCACCACACTCAAAACAAAGCTAAATTTGAAAGGTGCTTTTAAGGAAAATTGGAAAGAGGGAGGCGTTACGGCACTAGTCGCCATCGCCAAGTTGGAGGCGTAATAGGTAGGGGCAAGAAGAAGATTAACAGATGAGGCACCCATTGGAGATGAGAAAATAAAAAAAAGAAGTGACGAGGCGTCCGATTTCCATCGGAAATTTTATTGTATAGTTGGGCAAGAATAACCGAGGAGGAAGAGTGGTGGTGACGCTTGAGAAAATTCAAATGGGAGAGGAAGAGGAAGCGCATGGCACAAAATAAAGAAGGAAAAAGTGGCGCTTTCAAAATTAAGAAAGTGAAGGCTTTGTGTCACAACTGGTTGGCGTCGCAAAGCTAGAGGCGCAATAGAGGGGAATTTAGAAAGAAGGAAAAAGAGGCACCGAGACCATCTGCTCGACACAAGAAGTACTATATTTTTCGCATCATGAAGGCACCTCTTGTTAAAATTGTACGAACAGGCTTCAGCAACAAGACGAGGGTGTCTATTTTTAAGTCAATGCGGCAGCAAACACTTATACATGCATGCGCTCAAGGTCAA